GTGACCAAGATTACAGATATCTAGATCCAACCGATAATCTTAACGTTAACCGATACAAATCTAGTTTTTTCAAAATCGTCGTCTGTGGGATTCGAACTCTAGACCTGCCGTCTGGGGGTGCGACAACTCCACCACTTCACTAAGTCACCACACCCACTTAATGTTAGCTTTCTTATTTTGTAAATCAGACATAATTGAATAGGGTTGAATATTGGACATTATTAAGGATTCAACAGGTTTGGTTTTTCTTTTTTTCACAATTAACTTTTTTGTCAGTTTGTGCATGTAGTCTTTTATTTCTTCCTTATTCTTTTCTAGTACTTCGATTTCTTTTACTTCTTCATCATTTTTCTTTCTTCTTTCTACAGTATAAACTTCTAATAGAAATTCTGATAAGAGAATTTCAGTATTAAACACACTCTCACCCTCCTAAGATGCATTCTCTAGTTTAAAGACTCCTCCTTGTTGTTCAACAATTGAGCCAACATGGCTTGAATGTCTATAGTAGATCTATTATTATCAGTATTTCTTTCTCTTTCATTTTCTTGCTATTTATTGGCCTCATTTATTCATTGGCCTGAATTATTAGTATTTAAAGTGGGATATTCAGAAATGATATGTCCTGGCTACCAACAGTTAAAACACATGATTTAAGAATGATTTTCTCAAAATGATACATTATTCTGATTTCTGTTTTGATTCCCTCTTGGTCTGTCATCATTGTTTTTTAGAGATACTACCAACTCTTCTATTACTAATATCAATTTTTTTATAGGATCATCATCTAAAAAGGCTGGGACTTGGATCATTGTATTAGTTGATTGTAGAAGATAAGAGGCTATAGGATTAATAAAGAGAGTCAGGTTATGTTTTGTTAGATTTCTTGACAGTGTCAATTCACTAACTTTAGCCCTTTCTATTGCTACTTGTAAAGTTCCCAGTATAAATAACCCCACGGCTAGTGCCAAATCAAGTCATAGTCCCTGTACAAATATCTATGCCTTCATTGCTTCGAGATACTGGTTACCCCTACCGTAACTCATCTAAATAAAGCTACTATTTCTGAAGCATATTGATCAACTGTTTCTTCTATTTTCTGTTATCTAGTGAGTAATTCTGTACTCTATTAACTCACAAGCATTTAAATATAGAAGTTTTGGTAAAATTGATGAACAAAACTAGTATTCGATAAAAATTATCCTTCTAACTAATAATATAGAGCCTAGTGTTCTTTCTAGTTTCTCACCACATAGCAGCCATTTCAGTTAGATACACATCTATAACTGCTATTCAATGATCACTCTGGATATTGTTTGCTTCAAACTCATGACTTATAGCTTCTAACCATGCCACTGGGTTTTGGTTTCCTCTGGCAAATGTAGACATAGTTACAATGTTCATTTCTTATACTTGATTATTTTGAATAGCTTGGAGTAGTGTATCAGCTATTGGTTGTAGCAGCTGATGAATTTGTTGTTGGAAACCATTTTCCTGGTTCTTCTAACCATGATGATTGTTATTATTATCAATATCCAAAAAAGGGTCTATGACAAATAAGTTTTTTTAATTTTGGTCTCATTTAATATATATATTTTCTAGACTAAAAATTAGCATTCAATTATAGTTTCAGGTATATTAATCATCCACACAATTGGTATCAAATGTCATAGTCGAGTGGGAGAGCTTTGAAATATTTGAGTCTGGTTTAGCTTCGATCGTGAACAAAATATATATAATTTATATATATCACGTAGTAGGTAGATCAGAAGTTAAAACTATATAGTATAATTATGAGTTTAATATAATTTTAAAAATATAAATTGACTTTCAAAATTACAGGTTAAGGTTCCTCTTTTATTAAAGTTTCTCAAATAAATTTATTATAATTGAATTATGCCCAAACATGAATACAACTGAAACTATAAACTACTATAAGCAATAATTAATTTTGTTCTACATGCTGAAACCTAACCTATTTATATTTTTTGATTGATATTATTCTTGTTTGAGGTTTTAATTAGTCGTTTAGGGATCTAATCAGTCAATTGGAAATTTAATTAACTAATTGGGAATTTAATCAATCAATTAGGAATTTAATTAATCGATTGGGGATTTAATCCACCCACCATGCTATAGCGATCCTTTTTCAAAATATAAAATATCATAACGATAATACTAAATAAAGAAAAAAATAAAAATTATATAATAAAAATAGAAAAGTAAAATTTAACGCATGATACTGGCTATTTACTATACCGATGTCTATTGTTTGAAGTATCTTTTTTGATATATCAGAACTTTAGAGATAGCATATTTAATTGTTATAATAATTGACTAATTGAAATTTTATATTTTCTTATTGTTTTTTAATCATTAAATTCTTGAAAAATATTAAATAAAAAAAAATTGTATAATAATTGACCAACTGAAATTTTATATTGTTCTATTGTTTTTTAATTATTAAACTCTTGAAGAATATTATGTAAAAAAAAAAAATGTAAGCAATTAAATATCATTAAATACTAGCAAAACTATATCTGAGTCAATTAATCATACTAATAGATACTTTTGACCAAGTTGGAAAAATGAATATCCATGGCTTGAATTTGATATACAAAACAAATAAATGTTTTGTATATTGTGCTATGCTTGTAATAAAAAAAATGCTTTCGCAAAAGATAGTACATATAACTTATATGTTTAAATAATTTATATTTTAAAGGTTATGGTATGATTCCCCAAAAGGTATTTTCCTGACAAGAGAATCATACAGGCTGAAAATCTGCTAAGAATGTATAACTACAACTAATCAAATGCTAACCCTAACCCTATATGATGTTGGGTAAGTATCCTATTAGAAAATAATTTTGAAAAATTAAGTAATAACTGTAACAGATTAAAATAAAATCGGATTAAAATGAAATTTTTTCTATTTTTTTAGAAAAATTTAAAATTTTTTGGAAGACATTTTTTAGGGTTAGGGTTAGTGTTAGAGTTAGAGTTTAGAGTTAGTTTTATTAATAAAAGAGTATAAGTAAGTTTTATAAGCTTTAAAGATGAGCAAGAAAGGCCCCCAGTTTTATTTTAATCTAATTTCATTATGATCTGCCACATTCTTTGATTTTCTAATGTGTAACATGTAAATTTTAATTATGTTACAAAGGATTGTCATCTATATATCACATAACCATATAGGAAAATTAGCTTCAAAATATTATAAATAGACCCCTCTCCCACCTTTTGCAAAATAACTTTTATATTCACCTTCTTTTGGCTATATCTTTCTTATATTATTATATTTTAAACTTTTCTTGTTATAAAAGTTCACTTATAAATTCTAAAATATTGTTTCTTTTATTATTTTATCTTTTTATCTTTTTATTTTTTGTCTTTTATCAAAAGGTCACAAAAGTACGCCATTGCTAAACCACATGTGTCTCTTGTTCTTTTACGGACTGCAATAAGGCACAGCAATTATTAGCACATTATATACTAAGGCTCCAAAGTTTTATTTTATTTTTCTTTTGTCTTGACTCCTTTAAATATTATACTTCTGTTGTTATTAAACTGTCAAGTTATTACTCCCTTCTGCTTGTACTCTGTATTGAGTTCAAATCCAAAGCAGTAATAATATTTGGTGTCTTCTGGCAAAAACCTAATATTTAAAAGAGGAATATTGTTATTTAAAGTGAACTACTATTTATTCTTTTCTTTATTTCTTTCTTATTTTTATTTGCACTTCTTCTTTTCTCTTTCTTTAGTTTCTTGTTCTTATTATTTACTATCTTGTTATATTTATTTACTACTTTCTATTATTTTTGTTACTATTTGCAATATATTTATATCATCTTTCTCTCAAAACTCATTTTTAAACTTTTTTCTTTATAACTCTTTTTTTTTATAAATTTTTCTTTAAAATAAGACTCAACAACTTAAACTTAAATATATTTATTATTTAAGTAAAGGCAATTTTAAATCACTTTTACAATATTTTAATTAAACATTTTTTTCTTTATATTTTTATAAACTATTATTTTTTTTTAATTTTTTTTTTTATATATTCTCTATCATTATTATTTTCTTTTATCTTACAATAAAGCCTCTTAATATTAAAAATAAATCTCTCAATAATTATTATTTCTGGAAACAAAGGCAATACAATAAGCTTCTAAAGGAACTGAAAAAAGAAATACAATTCTTTAAAGCTCTTCTTCTTTTTATTCTAAACTCTTATTAATATTTCTTATTACTAACACATTACTCTTTCCCAACTTTGGATAATCTTTTGGAATACGTTTAAACTTTGTTTAAAAACAAATTATATTCAAATTTATTTTACAACTTGGACTCTGATTTGAACTTAATGGCTTAGATTTATGGATATTTTCTTTTCTTTTCTTTTGGTTTTTATTACAAAATTTTTGCAATATGATTTGGGAGCTTCCAGATATTAGGTAGATATAGTCCCCCCAGAGTCAGTCGTTTGACACAATAGTTTGACAATTACAAATTCGATTACTTTAGAACTTGTAATTGTCAAACGATTGATTATTTTAGAACTTGTAATTGTCAAATGATTGTGTCAAACGACTGACTCTAGGGGGGCTATATTTACATAATAAGTGGAGGTTCCCTTTTTGTTTTCTAATTTTTTTAAAATTGAGACTATAGAGCTTAATATTTTATTTTGTTGATTATATTGAAAATTTATTCTAATTCTTTTTGAATTAAGGCAATGAGGCTTGATAAATCTTTAACAATTTTTTTTATTTCTCCAATTCTTTGTGAATTGAGGCTTAGTAAAGCTTAGTAATATATTTTGTTTAGTTTTTAAATTTCAATTCTTTTAAATTAAGATAAAGTTGCAACTATTAATTAGTTATTTTCTTCGATTATTTTTCATTTAAACTCCAATTTGAATCGATACTTATTTAACTTCGAACTTTTATTCTTATTATATCCTATATTCAACTTTTACTATTTTAACGTTACAATTTCTTGATTTATATATATATATATATTCTTTTTATTATTTTATCTGCAGATTTATTTTCAATAACTTGTTATTTTTTGATTATTTTTATTATTATTATTATAGTTATTATATACCCAATATTTATTAATCGTTATTTAATTTAAACTTTTATTTTTTTATTCTTTTCATTTTATTAATACTCTAATCAAGTATTAATTTATTTTTTTTTATTATATTTAAAATCTCTTATTTTTTTAAAAAAAAAAAAAACTTATACTTTATTACAAATTTTGAAATTTAAAAAGAACTTTATTTTAAATTTTTTTTTTTTATTACAATTCTCCATGTCTGAATACTTGGTAACCTTTATAAAGGCAATACCTTTTTATTGCCTCAATTCTATGAACAATTTCCTTCTTTTTTCTTACCAACCAAGATAATAAAGCATTCTGACTCAACACCCCTGCCATTTGAAGTTGCTATTGAACAGATATTAGTTGCCGAGAAAAGATTTAATACTCTTGCTAGAAACTTTTTTTTTAAAAAAAAAAATAAAAAATTAATTATTATTATTTCTCTTATTACTATTTTATTTTTAGTTATTCGATTATTTTTATATACTACTGTTCTTCATTAAAACCTAAACCTTCAAGGATGTAAGGATAGGTTATTACTTTTTCAGAAATTTCTGGAGTTACTTCTTTGGTAACCACTTCTTCAAAAACCATATTTTTTTGATCTGGTTCGTCCTGAGCTAGCTTGTCATCAGAGATAATAACAACCTTGTTATTATTATTACTATTATTATTATTATTATTATTATTATTATTATTATCATTATTATTACTATTATTATTATTTTTATCATTTTTATAATGATAAAAACTTCATTTGAGGGGACTTTGGTTGTTGGAATGTTTTGTTATTTTAGAAAACTTTACAAGAAACAAAGATGAAAAATTGGGTAAAAGCACAAGTAAATTTAGTGTGATATATAGCCCAATTTACTATTTTTAAAATTGTCAAACGCACAAGGAC